ATAAAAATCAATAAATAAAACAAAACTATCATCCTCAATAAAGTGATTATAATCAATCATATCTAAAACTAATCTAATGTTATTCTTGATATGACGACCATTCATAAACCCAGACTGTTCTATATCAATTATTTTGTCTAAACCTTGCTTCAGTCTTCTAGCAAAAATCATTGCAAATAGTTTACTGATGTATTTTCTTTAAATTAAGGTAAAAGAAAAAGGAGGTGTGACATAATGTGATGAAAGGTCATTGTCATTGTTCTAAATAAAGTTTATTGAAAAAAAAAAGAAAAAAAAACTTACGGCACATATCCCTTACGGCACGTAACCCAAACTTACGGCACGTAAACACTCTCATGCCTTTTTTCTAACCGACAGAAATATGATATACTCCTTTCCCCCTCCTCAATCCATTTAGCCCTAGACCTGATGTAAGCCCCTTCTGCTTTATTAAGATAAATTATATGAAGTTTGTTTAAAAGACCTTGTACCTTCTGTTTTTCATTATCTGTAGGTGATTTTTTTGTTATAATAGACATTTATTTCTTTAATCATATTAATTTCAGATAATCTATTACTTTTATTCAATGTTTTTCCAAAACAAATCGAATATTCCTTCATTTTAAATAGAAGAATTTCCCATTTAGAGATGTATGATACTATTGAATTATCAGACATCACCTCTAAGACCCTCATTAAATGACTGGCATTTTAATAAACATTAATTGAATTTCCAATACCCTTTATCTTGTCGACTAACACCGGGAGGTTTAAAAATCAATCTAATAACAGAATGGTCAGTAAGAGGGGCTGTTGACATACAACAGTCAATAACAAGATTCATAGTAGAAACTGAAATTAACCAAAAATCCATTCTTGACTTTACTACACTATTTGGCTTAAACCAGGAATATTGTTCCATGTTAGGATATTTAAATTGCCAAGGAGCCAATAAATTGTGAGTACGACAAAAATCTGTTAAAACAGGGTTGTAAGAAGAATTTTGACTACATCTGAAGGGATAACTATCAAGACACTCATCACTAACCATGTTAAAATCACCACCCATAATTATACTAGCAGTTGGATAAATAAGTTTAAGGTTTACAGTGACATTGGAAACATCTGAAATTAACTGTCTATTTTGAATTACATTATTAAAACCATAAACATTGATCATAATGAAATAATGGTCATCCAAATGCAAGACACAGATTAACCAGTGACCATTATTACTGAATCTAGATGTCACTAATTTACCAGATGAGTTACAAAACAAAACAGCTACACCTGCTGATATAGTAGACCCATGATCAAAAAGAATTTTGTCTCCCCACTGATTAACCCAAAATTTTTCATCCTCTGGTTTGGAGTGTTTCCTGCAACAAAATTATGTGTGCTTTTTCGCCCTTGCAAAACAGAAATAATTACTTTCTCTTAGTATTCTCTCTTAAGCCTCTAGCATTAAGTGAAATACAAGAAAAAACTAAATTATTCATAAACAAAATTGGCAACAGCCAAAAATATTAGTAAGTCTAACAAGTTATACTCTTGAAAAGATTAGAGAAAAGAAAGCCCATACAGGCACTGTCCCTTCCGACTGCATTCAATGCAAACAAAACCATCCAAAGTCAAAAGGCATTTTCAATTTTCAAAATACTGCCTCTGTTCATATATCTTGCGTGCTCCTAAGTGATTCTTTGTCCGTTTATATATTCAGCACATCGTCTGAAGTATGCACGCTTCCCCGCATCCCTAGCTTCTTTTATCTTAGGCTACAGTACAGCTCGGGTCTCCCTGTCGGCTTTGCAGAGATCTTCAATGAAGCTGATTCGGAACTCTCTACAGATCGCGTGATCCTTGGTCATTCTTCACAGCGCATCTCGGTGTAATCTCTGAGTAAATTGAATGGGGTGAGGGTATAGTCATTCGTCCCCTCCAACTGATTCAGAATGCAGCTGCTCGGCTTGTTTTCAACCTTCCCAAGTTCTCCCACA